GGCTGAAGGGCGCTTGGAGACCGCAGCCAGGCTGGGGGCAGGGCCCGCAGCTGCCTTCTTCCTGCCGGGGAAAAATCGTCGCGATTAGGCGAAGATGGGAAAGGATGGAAGCTGTTATCCCCTTACGTAATCGTAGATATTCTTGAAAACTAATCGAGAGTGCTGAGCCTGAAGTGGAACCTAAGAGCCGGTAGTGTGAAACTCGACCAAAAGATTAAACCATCCCGACAGATGCTGGGAAGAAAATACCTGGATCAGGATGACGGGTGTAGGTTGATGGGGGCTTAGGGCATCAGTCTGCCTTCCATAAAGGCAGCCATGATTAACTACCTACTCTTTTTAGAAGTGGTAGGAGGTTTTTTTAGAGAACCATATTTTTACTTGTCTGCTGTTTAAAGATTATTTTTTTTTTTCCGCAAGAGGAGTAGGCGCAAGCGAACATCGCTCTTAAATCTCTCCTGGATTGCAAAGTCTAGGCAGCCCTTATTATGCACCGCCTTTCATTGGGCAGAAGGTGAAATTGTGTAAAGGATTACCACTGCACACTCCTGAACAGGGTGCTTAGAGGCTTATTTGTAAGGGTAGCTAGGAATGCGTAGCTCTGTCATTCTGGGATAAGTATCTAATTCTAGTACGAAAGAAAAGTCTCTCTTTCAAAGAGCCTAAAATAATGGATTGAGCACATTTAATTGAGAGCGCACAGATCCATTGCTTTTTTAATAAAACTTCACAATTGCTGTGCTTACTAATGCCTTCCAGCATAGAATATTTGACCTGTATGGCCATTCGGTGCCTTTCTAATATGGATTATTCATCACAGTTTTAAGCTCATTAAAAAAATCGAGCTCGTGCGAACCGTGCAAAATGGTGGATTATTTTGTACATGTTTATGCTGATTTGCAAATGGCTGCTGGCACTCACAGACAGGACGATTGTGAAAATTTCCCTAAGGGCCTCGATTGCTGCATCTGCTGAGATGACGCAACTCAAGAGTGAGCCTGCAGGGTGAAGGATGGTGCAGAGGGAGGGGCCAGGCAGCACAGCGTTTGCTTTTCCTACAGTAGCAGGCTTATTCGGTTAAGCAGGCTTATGTGGATGGGGTGAAACTTAGCGTGCATATCAGAAACAGGTTTCCTATCTTAAAAGGATACCATCGTGATGCTGTGAACCGAGCAGCGCAGAATTGCTCGGAAGAATTCGGTAGATAGGCTCATAGGTTTTCAAATCCTCAGGTGTGGTCTCGCCACTGGAGATTTTGCTTGTGAGCATGGTAAAACCATGATGAGGTGGTGACATCTATGAGACTGTTTCATGTGATTTTTCTGACCTCAAGCCAAGAGTGCTGATGTCAAGGTAACCAGGGCTGTGTATCGCAGAGAAGAGTGGTCCCTGGCGTGCTGGGCCAGGATAGTCTGGATGACTTAGGAGAGAGAGGATGGAGGAGAAAATGGGATCTTTCACATAGAATAGCAGAATGGTTCTTCTCTTGGTCAGGTCAGGCATACTGCTGTCTTGGTACAGAAATACACTTTGCTCACTTCAAGCTTGAGGGTGTTTTCATCTCCCAGTTAGTCTTGCCCTCAAAATACTGCAGTAGTAGCTTTCTGGGTGCAAGGCAGTGTTCCTGTCCCTGGTCTGGAGCTTCCTTTGTCCTGCCCCTTGCTTAGGTAGCCGTGGGAGGAGTGCTCTGGGCCAAGGTTTGTTTGGGTTTTGGGTTGTTTTTTTTTTTTTTTTTAAAAATCTTGCCATCTGATCACTGTTTACCCTTGAATTCACAGGGCTTTGTTGATTGCTGCCTGTTGGTGCCTCTAACTGCGACACCTTTCTAGTTCCAGGGTTCCCTTCAATTGCTGTAGTAACCTGGGTCCGGGGCCTCGGTGGTGCTCCTGATGTCCCTCACCCACCCCTGAAGATCCCAGGTGGGCGAGGGAATAGTCAGAGGGATCACAATCTTTCAGCTAATTTATTTTATTCGGTGAGTATGAGTAAGCAGCTTGCTGTGGTGAGCTGGAATGTGTTTTTTGCCTCAAGCCTATTAATGGGAGTTATCCCTTTTCCACACGGACGTGGCGATAACTTTGCACGTGTTGCTGCTGCAGGATAATCGGCTGAATGTAACAGAAGAACTAACATCTAACAACAGGACAAGAATTCTGAATGTCCAGTCAAGGCTTACAGATGCCAAACACATTAGTTGGAGAGCAGTGCTGAACAACAACCACCTCTACATAGAAATTCCCAGTGGTGCTCTGCCTGAAGGGAGCAAAGACAGGTGGGTACAGGGAAATGCAGCTGTGGCTTAAATTGCCTCTGACTTGAAGGCCGGTCTGTGGGGTGGCGTAACCCTTCGCTCTTGATGTTCACGTCTGTTCTGAAAGCTGAAGTCTAATGGTGGTGCTTGACGCTCGCTTACAAGAGGCTGTGACTAGGTGATCCTGGCTTGAGGGCTGCTTCTACCTGGTTTGTCAGGCAGAACCGCCCCAAAGGTCTGTGATTCCAGGCTGTGTTCCCAGGTACCGGCTCCCTGTATCCGCTGAAAGCACCAGCCTGGCTCTGGGGCTGTCACTGCAGTTCTCCCTTCAGCTGCCGCAGAAGAGCAGGCTTTCTGTCACTGAAAACTCAGATTTCTGCCCTCAGGTTTAACCTGGGGCTTGGGGATCTCCTGTTGGTGGGAGTCTCCAGCCACTTGCCTCCTGTGCCTGCAAGTTTGTGTGCAGATGGGCTCACAGGGCCTTGTGAACTCATGTGCGTTGAACACCTTGTATTTGTCTTGTAGTTTTGCAGTTCTTCTGGAGTTTGCTGAGGAACAGCTTCGAGTTGATCATGTGTTCATTTGTTTCCACAAGAACAGAGACGATAGAGGTGGGTGTTAACTCCTAGCACTGTCTCCAGCTGCGATTGTGGTACTTGAAGTTGCTTTTGGTGGATGCTTAAGGAGTTGCACAGTATCAGATGGATGAAACGTGTTTTCTCCCTTTTTTTTTCCCCCCTAGCTGCATTGCTCCGTACTTTCAGCTTTTTGGGCTTTGAGATTGTGAGACCAGGGCATCCCCTTGTCCCCAAGAGACCAGATGCTTGCTTCATGGCCTACACATTTGAGAGAGACTCATCAGAAGAAGACTAGATTGCAATGTTTGCCTCTTAGAGCTTTCTTGTTGTCTATAAAGATGATTCTGTAGAAATTTTGTCAACATCTGTTACAGTGTGTGTAACTCTGCACGAAACGTTGTGACCAACTGCTCTGGTGGCGAGATGTTGAAAATTTCAGACTCCACATCTTTTTCTGGATTTGTGCGCATGTTGTGGTTGTGCAAATAAATGCTCCCTCCAAATTAGCAGTATATTCCTTGAAGTTTAATATTGTGTTTGTGATACTGAAGTATTTGCTTTAATTCTAAATAAAAATTTATATTTTACTTTTTATTGCTGGTTTAAGCTGTTTAAGACTTGCACTCTGCAGAGATGGTTCTGGAGCTGCCCCAGCCGTTAGCGCTGTTGGTACGGCAAGGGGGTGATGGTCTTTGCTTGGCTGGAACTCCCGGCTGGGGTCTGCTAGGCCTTGGAATAATCTGGCAGTCCTGCACAAGCCTACTTTTAGTGAAGTAATGAGCAGGTTCTCCATTTCCACTGGTAATTAGCATCACTGCGGCCCTGCTCAGTGTGTTTCATAGGGTCTTCAGGGTGGGGGTTAGTTGGAAGGTCACAAGTGGAATGCTGAGACAGCTCACGACTGCCTGGAGCTTGGAGTGCCTTGGCGTGCCAGCTGCAGCTTTGATACCCGTGTCGGTTGCTGGTAACAGCGAGGGCTTACACGGGCGTGTTAAACACCAGAGTGTTTAAGCGTGGGAGTGGCTCCGTGAGTTCCGTCACCAAGCGAGGCTGGTGGCACCTCTAGCTCAGTGCTGTCACTGAGGCTGGGCAGCCTGCAGAACACCCTTGGGGAGACAGGTTGTGGCTGGAGTGTTAGGAGAAGGGGGTGTTGTCCAGCCGTGCCTGTTGTGGGGGTCTGCAGACACTTGTTCGTGTTCAGGGTGCTGAGGAGAAGGGGAAGTGGCTGTTGGTGTAGTGCTGGAATTCACGTGAACTGAGGTTGCAGCCAAGTCTCCGAAGGGCTGTGCTTTAAATCACTGTATCCCCGGGGTTTTTTTCAGTACTTCGCACTGGTCTGAACAAGCTTTGGAGGCTGGTTTGGACCTAATGAACCATTTTTCCTCTGTAAAACCTTGTAGCAGTGGAGCCCTGGGATGGGCTGGTTCACCGGGTGGTCACTCTGTGAGTCAGTGTGGATAGGAGCGTGTGCTCGGCGAGGACCTGCCATCCCCACTGGGTGACCCTGCACGCTGCGAGATGTGTGCAGGTGAGGGTGCCTGAGGACTGCTCCCCAGGCAGATGTTCTGTGCTCAGCAGGGCTGGAATCAGGTGCAATAAATACACCAAAATGCAATCCCTGACATGCCCTTCTCGGAGATGCACCAGGGTGCAGATCCCGTGATGGATGTTCTTGATGACCCGTTTAATTGGCTTCAGGTATTTCTACCAGCCCCTCGCTAAGGCTGCCCCGGTCTGGGCTCTGCTCTGCTCCCCGGGTGTCACCTCTGCGGGGGCCACGGCTCCTGCCTGCGCTGCCGCCTGCCGAGTGCGAGGGGTCACCTTCCCACAGGTCTTGCTGATATTTTTTGTGGCCGTACAATCGTGATCTTCCTGCGGGTGTTCCGGAGAGCTGTGAACCTGCTGTGCTCGGCGTGCCAAAGGCCAGCGAAGAGGAGGTGGGCATGAGCGGGGAGAGGGTGTTCCTCCTTTATTCAACAGCCTGGTGAAGGTCTGAAGTTCATATGCTGATTCCCTTTGTTTTTAAAAACCATGAGCAGGTTTTGTCTTTCTTTTTCCAGGATCAGATGCCCAAGGCGGCCTTGGGTGAGCTGCTGCCGTGCCGCGGGCTTTACTGCCACCTGGTAGCCATGCGAGATACTACAGGAGAGGTGTTGGGGACTGCAGGGCAGGGGCTCACCCAGGACAATTCCTGCTTGGTTTTGGCCCAAAAGCCCGTACGGAAATTTAGACAACTTTTCTGTGGACCAGCTGTGCTTGGGTGGTGACTGCGTCAGGGTTCGTGTAGCCAGGGAGCTTGTTGTGTCGCTCATCCAGCCTTGGCAGGGAGGCCGCGCTGCGGTGTTTGGGTGCTGCTCTGGGAGGGAATGGTCCCTCCACCTTGCACAGAGGGGCTGGGGTGTCGGCTGGGTGTTTGGCCCCACTGCAGCCCAGATGCCAACGCTCAGCGGGCAGGGCAGGAGGCAGAAACCCACCGACCGGGGAGCTGGGAGCCTGCTGCTCTGTGGTTTCATCTTGGGGTGGGGTCACAGCCCTGGTTTACCAGGCATTACTTTGAGTTCAGGGGCTCCTCCCCGATCCAGCCCTGGTGACTGCCTGATGTGCCACTGCCCATGTCCACGGGCACGCTGGGGCTGCCCCGGCGGTAGCTACGGGGAAGCTGAGGAAGGTCTGTCCTGCTGTGTGCACAGCCCGCGGAGGCTGCTCCTGCTCCTGTCAGCTGATAGATGCGAATGCATTAATAATGAGTTACTTCCTAATAGTATAAATGACCTGATCTGGGCTTTGCGTGGCCTTCGCCAGCCATCCTTTCCCACACAGCCTTCGGGACCAGGGTGCAGATCCCGTCTGGTGCTGCGTGTTTTATACCGAGCAGCAGATGCAACGGCCCTGCCTTGGTGCAGCCAGAGACCGACCCTGCAGCCTGGTCCCCGGGCCCAGCAGCCGTAAACTGGCGCAATCTATTCACTAGACTCCATCCAGGCTGTTCTGGCTAATCACCACCAGGCAGTGAAGGTTGGCTTTGTGTTCTCCCTGGATACATCGCTGGGGTGTGTAATGCTGTCAAAGAAGCACATAAAGGCCTAGTATTTTAAGAGGCTCAGCTCTGGGTTTTATTGAACCTGCGTGACTGTTGCATTTCCCCCTTTAAAATGTCGTTCGTATTTGTGACTATGCCACAGAGGGTTTCTAAGAAGAGCAGGCTGTAGGAGGGGGTGTATTTCTCCTTTGCCACTGGCGCATTAAGGTGAGGTGTAATGTGGGGCTTTGCATTGGTGTTTAAAACAGCAAAAGCCTCCTGGCCGCAGGAGGGGTCTGAGGGGGTTTGTGCAAAGTCTGAGCCCTGTAAAGTTTACTCGGGAGAATCAGCCGCTAAATGGGCACTTGATCCTGCAGCTTCCATCCAGCTGTTTTTCCAGAGATGCTCGGATGAACTGGACTCACAGCAGCAAACAAAAATTGGCTGAAGGTGTAAAAACACACCCTGCGTTGTGGGAGCCACGGGTGGGAGTGGGGTCCCAGATCCATCATTCATGTGCTGTGGGGGAAGTGGGTTTGGGTTTGCGCACGGAGCTTTCCCAGCCAGGACCAGCTTCATTTGGCCAGCTCCCCATGGGCTCTTGGCTGTGGGGAGAACTTTTGGGAGGGCTGAACTTCAGCTTGCCCTTAGGGAGTGTAGAGAGCCTGGGTCACTTGGTAAAGCGTTTGTTCCGTGACCTCCTTGAAGTACTGGCAGCACAGCCACTCCTCGAGGCTGAGGCTCGCCCCTTCCCCAGCCGAATTCTCTGCAAACTTCAGGAGCAGCAGAGCCCTCTTCACCTCCACCCAGCTCCGGAGCAGAGTGAGGGTCTTCTTGCTCCTGGCGAAGAGCTCCTGGCGAGGCCCCCAGAGCAGGACCTGCAGGATGCTCTTTGCCTGCTCGATGGAGACCCTCTTGCCGGGATCTCTGTGGAGAAGCAGCATGGCCAGACGCTTGAGTCCCGTGGAATAGATGGAGAGGGAGGACATTTCAGGAAGTCTATTGCTTCGGAACCCCAGGGCGTCTTCCAGAGTGATATCCGCGTGCAAGATGTAATAGATCAGCATGCCTACGTTCAGCTCATCTGTCACCGGGGAGGGCAGTGCAGCAAGCCCCTCGGTCCAGTCCTGCTCTTGGCTGGTAGAACAAGGTCTTCCCTTGTCTTTAACCTTGAAGAAACTGCTGATGAGCAGCCTTGGAAGGGCCAGGGACGCCTCCTTGCCTTGCAGGCTCTGGGGAGGACAAGGGCACCGCACCAGCAGCAGGTTCTCAGGGCAGAGGTCCCCCTGCCCCACATTCTGCACCCGGAGGTGCTCCAGCCCCATGCACACCTGCAGCAGGAGGAGGCAAGCCAGGCGTTCGTAGTGCCCGGGGCTGGTCCTATGCAAACCTTGGGATCCTTTCACAAAGCCTGCCAGGGTCTGATAGGGAACCTCAGGAGAAATAAGGGTCTGCAGGACAGGGCGGGTGGCAAGATGAGCTGGCTCCTCTCTGGAAGGGGACCGACTCTGCTCCCCAGGGCTTCCCGGGAGCACGAGCTCCCAAGGGAGGTGGTCCGTGAAGCGGCTGATCAGGCGCTGGATGCTGCAGTGCGTTCCGAGGGAGCTCTGCATCCCCAGGCTGGCACAGCCTGGCTTGAGGACCTGCAAGGAGAGACAGGGCATGGCCAGGCTGTGTGAGAATCAGCCCTGGTCAGACCCACGCACAGTGCTGGGCTCCCCTCACACCCGCCGAACCCACTGGTGCCTGCTGGAATGGCTTTGAGCCAAAAATGAGAATGGGGAGGAGGTGTAACACTCAGGCAAGCTGCAAAGGTTGGGCCTACAAGGGTGCTGGGAGAGGACTTTTTACAAGGGCCTGTAGTGATAGGACAAGGGGTAATGGGTACAAATTGAAATCAGGGAGGTTTAGATTAGATATCAGGAAGAAATTCTTCACAGAGAGGGTGGGGAGGCACTGGAACAGGTTGCCCAGAGATGTTGTGGATGCCCCATCCCTGGAAGTGTCCAAGGTCAGGCTGGATGAGGCTTGGAGCAACCTGGTCTAGTGGAAGGTGTCCCCGCCCATGGCAGGGGGTTGGAACTAGATGATCTTTAAGGTCCCTTCCAACCCAAACCATTCTATGATTCTATGATTAAAGCTGCTTTGATGGGTCTCATCCTGCACTGCCTGAGCAGCCAGCTCTGCTCCAGTCTCTACTCTGCATCCCTTGGCCTCTTGAAACCATTTGCCAGGGCACCTTCCCTAGCAGTGCCATTTCCCTTGACGTGTCCTTTGGACCCGTTGCCCTCGCCGCCCTGGCCCACGCCAGCAGCATTGTGTCATTTAGCAAATGCAGAAGTAGGGGCAGAAAGGGGAACTGCCTGCGTGAGGTGGGGGGGGTTCAGCGTAAAAACCAATGCTCCCAGTTCGTGCTTGCCTGTAGCCCTGCAGCCCCCCTATGCCCCCGGAGCCAACTCCAGCAGTGCCCAAGGCATTTTCCCCAATTCCCTGCTTACCTTGGCTGCAAACACCAGCTGGGTTTGCCCAAAAGTGAAGCCCACACGGTAATACCAAGCGTCTCCGCTTTCGCAGCATGGCTCCCGGTCCAGGATGCTGAGCGCTGCCCATCTCTTCCCCACCAGCTCTGCCTCCAGGAGCTGCTGCCGGTCCTCTGGCCCCATGAGCTCCTCCTGGATGCGAGCCGAGAGCCGGGCCAGGGCGGCCACCTGGCACGCCAACAGCACCCCACACACCCCGGCTGGGCTCTCCAGGGGCTGCGGGAGCTGCCCCAGCTCCCCATCCACCGTCCCAAACGTCAGCTCTGCTGGGCTGGGCGGTGGGACTTTCTGTGGGCTCCTCCAGGCCGCTGGTTCCCCCAGGCTTTGGGACTTGGTCAGGGGCTTCTTAGGTCCCCAGGAGGGTCTGTCACATGGGGAATGGAGTGGTGGGATGTTGTAGAGGATGCTACCGGCCCATGGTGTGGGGTCACCCTGACAGTGCCGGGATGGCCCCTGTTCCGGGAGGGATTCCGCTCGCTGGAGGTGCTTTTTTGGCAATGGGGGAGGCCGGGGGTCCCGGTCAGGCTGACAAGGGGGTCTTCCAGCTCCTTCCCCTCGGCTAGCTTTGCGGGGGACGAGGTGGGCGCGCAGTTCTCCTGGGGAGGGAGGAACAGACATGGCAGGGGTAAGACTTCCCGGGGCAGGGGGAAGGGAAGAACATGGGAGAAGAGGCAGTACAGGGCTCAGGGCATCACTCACCCACGTTGCTGTAGATGAGGGCCGAGTCGGGAGGCCGAGGCGGGCAGCCCCCTGGGGTGTCCGGCATGGGGGTGGGTGGTCCAAGGGCACCCAGGTCCAGGCTGCTGCTGCGGGCGTGCACGCTGCCCCACGCCTGCACATTAGCCCTGAATGGAGCCTGGAGTCAGTGCTTGGCCACCCCTCCCCCGGGGAGGGGGGATTGTGGCTCATTTTGGTGCTGTCTCAGGGGAAGAATGAGGAGAAAGGGGAAGCAGTGGCTTTGGGAGGCCCGGGGGGGTGGTTTTTGGGGCACCGA